TGAGTAATATTCCATTTTATAGAAAAACCACAACTTCTTTATCCAGTTTCCAACGGATGGGCAAATAGGTTGTTTCCAAGATTTAGCTATTACAAACTGTGCCGCTATAAACATGGGTGCACATACTTCTCTGTGATATGATTCTTTTAGTTCTCTTGGAAAGATACCCAGCAGAGGGATGGCTGGGTCAAATGGAACCTCCAGTCCAAGCTCTTTGAGGTATCTCCATATTGATTTCCATAGTGGTTGCACTAGTCTGCACTCCCACCAACAATGGAGAAGGGTTCCTTTCTCCCCACAACCCCGCCAACATTTGTTATTGTGTGATTTCTTGATAGCAGCCATTCTTTGTGGGGTGAGGTGGAATCTCAGTGTTGTTTTCATCTGCATCTCTTGAATGACCAGTGATGTGGAACATTTTTTCAAATATTTTCTTGCTGCTTTTACTTCTTTGTCTGAGAAATGTCTGTTCATTTCGGATGCCCATTTTTGAATAGGGTCTTTATATTTGGGGGGACTGATTGTTTTGAGTTCTTTATATATCCTTGATAATAGTCCTTTGTCTGAGGAACAGCTGGTAAAAATCTTTTCCCACATTGTAGATTGTCTCTTAGTTCTGCTGATGGTTTCTTTTGAAGTACAGAAGCTTTTTAGTAAGATGAGATCCCAGTTGTTGATTCTTTCTGCTAGTTCCCGTGCTACTGAGGATTTGTTCATAAAGTCTGGAAAAGTTAAATTTAAGGGCATGTGACCCAAGCAGAGGTGTAGTTCCAGAACCTGGTGCATACATGACTGGTAGTTTTCCAGGGCCCTGTTAGGTGGTGGCCAGTGAGCACTAGTCTTCAAGGAGCATTTGCTTCATCTCTGCAGGTAGGAAGGCACCTGGATCTTCTCCATGACTTGTGTCCCTGCCCAGGAGAGCAGAAATTAGGGGACAGCACTGAGCGCTGAGTGCCAGGTGCCTGCTTGTAACTACACAAAACCTGGCAACCTTGACCAATTACTCTCCTTCTTAAAGGAACTCCTGGAATGTCCCCAGCAGAGGGCTTTGCGTGATTCTGCTATTAGAGTCACTAGATAAAACTTAGTACAGGCTTTTGCTCTCTTTGGGGTGGTATCTACCAGAGTAAACCCTGGGATGGTTGAGAAAGTAAAATAAGATTTTTTTTTCCTGGATGGAAGATTTACTGTGAACACAGCTCAGTGGAGACCAGATACTTAAGGGCAGGCAAGGCAAGGGTAACCCCAGGCCCCACCTGGGGACTCAGAACACATGTTCCCATCTTCCAGGAGTTGTGGAGGAAGGGGACTGGCAGGCAACTCTGGACCAGCTCTGTGGTCTTAGCACTTGCACTGTTTAGCCCTTGCAGGTCCTGTTACTGACCCCAATGCATGTTCTTTATAAGCTACTTGTTATAAATCTGACAAAGTTCAATGGCATCTTCTCTACTTGTTTATGTGCATCAGTGGGGATTCAGGGTGTGCACTCATCTCCCACTCTTCGAGGATGGAAGAGTAGGGAGTTTGGGTTTGGTTCCACAAATTAAATCACTACCCAAGACACCTGGTCCTTGCCTCCTTTTAATGACCTGTGCCCTCCTCTCACTGCTTCTTAAACCCATGGTCCCCAGAAGTGTGCACCTCCCCATCTTCCATGTGAAGAAAAGAAGTAAACTCAAGCCAGAGTGGACGTCTGGGCCTTCCCAAGTCATCTCCAGACAAGATTTTTTTTTTCCAATGCTAGAGATCAAGCCCAGAGCCTTGGGCATGCTAGGCAAGTGCTCTTCTACTGAGCTACAACACCTAGTCCTAGACAAGGATTTGGAGCCCAGCTCGGCTCTTGTGGGGGCACTAGAGTGATACAAAGACCACCGTTTCTGTGCAGGTGGGGAAAAGACAGGAGACCTAATCTCAGCTCTAGAAAGCTGACCTGAGCCCCACCTTGGCCTCCTGGCTTTGGAGAAGGCACTGGATTCACTGTCTTCAGACGGGAAAGGGAGAGGTAAGTGAACAGATTTGCTTTAAAAAATCCTTGTCACTTTAGGCAGTACACTGGGTGGCACATGAGAGCACTTATTGATGGCACCCAGAAGCACCAATGTGGCATAAATCCTGACAGCTTTGTCATGGGGCCAAGGGAATTACCTTCAGAAGGCTTAGCACCCAAGACCAACCTCCTGCAATTAATTAATTGCCTTGGAAAGACGTGGGTCCTGTCAAGTGGGCTTTTCTGATGGACCTTGCAACTGTTCTCAATGTCTACTTGCAGGGTTGTCTTGTAGGAACCTATCTACCCACCCAGGAAGCCAGAAGCACACAGCTGACACCAGACTGGGCAGCCCCAACATTGTCTTCTATAATGCGTCAGAGGCGCTCTGCCTCATGCAATGGGCTTCTAAGTGGGCCAGTACACTGCCAGTTCACTTTCTTCTCCACAGTCACCTCACTGTGTGGTCCAGGTGACTTTCTGTTTGAGAGCTGCTTTGATGTTAAGTGCTCTGTCTATGGAAGATTTCCAGTTGGTGGTGGTGGTAGTGGGGAATCTACATGCATCTTATGTGCTTTTCATTATTGCAAAAGGAAATCTTAAGCGGATACTCAATCATGGACAAGGCCATATATTAGCTTCAGCTTTGGCTTGTGTGAATTGACCTTATCAGTTAAAATCACTGCCTTTTCATTAAAATGGCCAATGAATAATGTATCAGAGCTTAGTTTAAAAGCTTCAGGTATGTTTTCAGACAGAAATATCCCAAGAATGCAAGGCAGGTGTATTTCTCAGATAAATAACAGTGGGAGCTCTTCTGCAGGGAAATTCTCCGCTCTCAGGTTTCCCGAGGTTGGGACCCAACGTGCGCGTCATTAATCATTCAATGGGGTCCATCCTCAGTCAATGGCAGCTCTGAGTAAACCGCAGCATCCGCTAGCTTATCCTTCCTGCCCAGGGGATCCAGGGGCTCGAGAGACAACTGGGCAGTCAGTCACATGTGCTGGGGCCGATACCCCGTCCCTCTTGGCTGGGTCGAAGAGTGGGTGGGTGCCTGCGTGTGTGCGCGCGAGCGTGCGTGTATATATGTGTGTGCGCGCTCACCCGCGCGTTCACCAGCAGCAACACAACCCCTGAAGTAAAAACAAATTAGGCATAGCGTTCAGGCCGATCCGATCCAGAGTTTCTAACAGGAAGCATCTCGAGTCGTGGCATAATGAGGGAGTACCTTCCTAAACGCCACAAACACACCCTATCGCCTTAATAAATCAGTAACAACAAACCAGCCTTCCCTGCAAACCGCGCCACACCAAACCCTTCCCAACTTGGGCTGTGTGTGTGTGTATGTGTGTGTGTGTGTGGTTCCAGCCCCTGAAGCCGTAGGAAGGATCCCCGGGGGAAGGGACGAACCGCTGGAATCTACAGGAAACGGGAGAGGAACCTGGAAATCAAGTCCTGAGTGGGCAGGACTCGCGTGGCCAGGACGCTGATGCGCCGGAGAGGAGCGAGAGGACGCGAAGCCAATGCCACGTTTCCATCCCATTTCTGTCAAGGTCCCTGGCGCGCGTGTTAAGCGCGTGGAGCTCAATGCCCCGCGGCGTGGTGCCCTCGTTGGGGGCGGGGAGCGGTGACCCGGGCGAGAAGAGCGCCCGGGTGAGTGGCTCTGGGGTAGGCGCGCCCGGCGTC